TTTCATATATATATTCATCTCTTATACATCATAATATTAATTTATCTAATATTTGTTCTCTTATCTCTATTGGTAATTTTTTAACTATCATTAATGTTAATATTTTTAATCTCCTAGGAACATGATCTAAAAATATATAACTTCCATGTTTTTCTCTTAATATATAGTACCAATTATTTTTAATAATTTCAATTTTCATGATCTAACAAGACTTTGATACCAGTTACACCAAAGTGCGCAGATGGAATAAAATTTCTTTTAACTTATAATACTTTGGGGTCTAATTTGAACTTTTTAATATTTATAATGGCTTTAATTGTAAAAATGTATATATAAGGGTATTTTTGGAAACCATGTTTTCTGTAGCTATTCTGTAAGTGAATAGTTCTGGAAGAATAGCATTTTCCTATAAAATATACGTAGACTTGTGAGGATTTGATGGCAAAACTACTAGATTCAATTCAGTAGGGATTCATGTACACTAAAATTGAAAATTTGAGGATGTAGATCTCAAACTAAATAGATACTTAAATGCTTAAATGCTAAATAGATACTTAAACGCCATCTTTTTTGCAATGTTTTAAGACTCAACTTTGATTTTTAATAAAAACACTATTGGTGGAAAGTATCCTAAATGTTTCACGGTGATTTAAAATGTCCTTAAAAAATAATTTGGGTCCAATTATTGAATTAAACTCAGAAGGGAAATCTTTGTTGGCACAAATTTGGAAAAATGTTCAAAATAGAAAAGGAATCATAACACAAAATATTTATTTAATTTGTTTGACGCATTTTAGCATTGGCTTTCGGCTCTTGGATTCTCAATCTCCACATTTCTAAAAATGCCTCTAAAAAAAATCATATATGCAATTTTCTCTTAGGGATGGAAAAAAAACACATTCAACCCGATACCCGTGGGGTTCCGCCGTGAATGGGACGGAGATTACCCACCTAATCGAGTAAACAGGGCGAAGGTCATTACCCCAAAGCGGATACGAGAAACATAGTCCCCACCCCGATTAAAATTAATTTAAAATTTAAGTTTTTTATCGAATAAAAACAATAAATTTATCATCATTTTTAAAGAGAATATAAGTTGCTTTTAACAAATTAGTAAAACAGTAATAATATTTACTAACTAAAGACATAAAAAAATAAAAGCAAAAATTAAAATAAATAAAAAATAAAAAGAAAAAAATGGGGCGATAAATGGGACAAGAGACTTGCACCGTACCACCCCGATCCTGCTCCGTCCGCTTTAACAAGGTATGTGAATGGGGTAAGGTAACAAAAATACTCGACGAAGGGGGTGGGAATGACCAATCCGTCTCATACTCACCCCGTTGCCTACAAAGTACTTTTTATGTCACATTATTGATTAATTAGATATAGGCCTTCATTTCACGACCTTTACGAGTAAGCCCCTGTTTGGTGGGGATTAAAATTGGGTTTTCAATATATTTTAATAAAAAATAAAAAAAAATGTGGTTAAAATTAAACGTTGATTTTAACTTAAATTAAAATATGAATTTTAATTTCTACCAAACAAGGGTTAAATAAAATTGGTCAGTATATTCATACAGATGCTCAGCGTTAGCGACTTCATGCAAACTAGTACAATTAAAGCCTTTTTTTGGTTTCAACTTGGATATATATATAT